GATAAGCTGGAGGAGGTGGCTGGGGAGAGGGAGGTCTGGGCCTCTTTGCTTAGGCTGCTGCCCCCGCGACCCGGCCTCGGATAAAGCGGATGAAGATGGATGGATGGATGAAAATACTCTGTAAATACTACAAAAAAGTCTGACTTGGACTGACTGAAATCACAATGCAGTTTATATCAGAGACAGATTGCATATAATTGGCAGCTTCACCCCGTATAGTTGCAGGCTGGTGTCAGTCTGATGGACTCAGTCCAGCAACATTTCTGGCAGCTTTTAGTGGCAGTGTTGGTTTTCTTAACAATCTCATTTGCAGTTGAAATAATATTAGAGTTATGCATTAATAACATTGTTACTACACAGGGATTCTGCTCTTTGAGCATCTGTAACATGTGGTCAGCTGAGCATTGTCCTTACTGACAGATGATGTTTATCTGTTTAACACATGCATCTTACAGTTATGATGTTAAACGTGAATATAGCTGAATATACGTCAGTTCACTGTTTCACTCTGTGTTCAGTCCAACAGGTTCTCACGTAGAGTGGTGTAAACAGCTCATAGCAGCCACAATCTCCAGTCAGATCTCAGGATCAGTCCAACCAGACATTGGGAGCAGGGACATCAAGGTAGATAACACACAGCACACACAGACACACACACACACAGACACACACACTGCTGGCAGTGATTCTCATCAGTGTGTATTCTGTAACTAATAGGCTGGGAGAAGACCAGACTTCATGGTAAGTCTCCATGTGAGCTGCTTTGAGTGTGGGCGCCTAGTTTTGTCTGTTAAGTCCATATGAATGATAAAGTTTGCTGTGATTGTTTAGGGACGCTACTGAGCAAGTTATCGACTGCTTCTGTCTGTCAGCGGCCTGCTCTCTGCAACCACCTCTCTGTAGCCAGGCGCATTTTGGCTCGTTCATATTGAATTTTGTCTGTTAGAACATTACACCTCTACCTGATCTGAGGTCTATGTATTGCACATTATATGCAATGTGCTTTATTAACTAAACGATGCTGCTCATTAGGGCTGCCACAAAGGATTATTTTGATATTTGACTAGTCACCGATTTTTTTTGATTAGTCGACTAATCAGATCATCATCCATTGGACGTAAAACATACAGCTTATTGCACCAGCAGCATCTGCTCTTATATAACTATCATTAGCTTACAGCTTTAAGTGTTTA